TCATGATTTAATAATATATTGTAGAACTTTTTGGTAGGAGACTTGAAAGGAATGGTCATTATTGTGAACCCTTTTCGTTCTTTAATGGATATTATTAATAGTAAGTATGGCATGTAAGTACGTCACCCAGAAATGAATGCGCAATAAATGTAAACAACGACAAATATTAAAACATTTTATTTTGTGAAAAAAATAAATAAATCTCTCTTACAGCTATGTTAATAACTTAAAGCGTCTAATGTTATTAGGCAATACATGAACATACAAACTATACATATGTACAGAGCGGACGCGCGCCGGTGTGCACACGCCTCCGCAGCCGCAGCCACTGACTGCTGACTCCTGGCTTGTACGTCGTCAGCTGCAACTAGTCATACTGTAATGTCTTCACGGTGTGTTACGATAAACTCTGCAGAAAACACTATTGCGTATCAATCGGTTCGAGTCGTAAACTATTTGTTGTCGTTGCAATGCAGGGCAAGTAGAGTCAGCAGAGCACACCGACCGTCACTTGTCGAGGTAATAGTAAATGCTGAGGTGGAGTGGACACTGCGCGCCACTCTATCGGAAGTGTTCGAGCGGCCGGTCCAGTGGCGGCTGCAGCATCAGCGGGATGTGGTTGTGGTACTGCGGCTCCTCGTCGCCCTCCCCGCTGCTGCGGCCCTCAGCTCCCTGCGGGACGCCGTACTCCGCGGCTGGCTGCTGTTGGCTAAAGTCCTGACCAAAGTTTTGGGCTTGTTGACTAAAATCCTGTCCGAAATTCTGTCCTTGTTGATTGTATTCATGTCCTTGTTGCGCGTAGTTCTGCTCTTGCTGACTGTAATCTTGTTGCCCAAAATTTTGTCCTTGCTGTCCGCTTTGACCAAAGCTGTCCTGTCCAAACTGTGGAGCTCCGTACTCCTGGGCGGGTCGATGATGTTGTTCATATTGCGCCTGCTCGAGCTGCTGCTGGATGTGATGCTGCAGTTGGTTTTGGTAGTCGTGGTACTGCTGGTCCCCAGTGTGCTGTTCGTATACCTGCGTACCTGGCTCTTGAGAGAACTGGTGGTGACCGTCTTGTCCAAATTGACCTTCCTGCCCAAAGTGAGCACCTTGGCCAAATTGACCATCATGTGCAAAATGGGTTCCTTGGGCGAATTGACCATCATGGGCGAATTGGCCGTCTTGATTAAATTGACCATCTTGGCCAAATTGACCTCCTGCCTGACCTGAGCCAATGTCATGAGGTTGAGTTTGAACTGGATGCCAACCATCTTGGTCAAGCGCCGGATGAGTGGGTTGGAGGTTCAGAGTTGGCTGAGTGGGTAGAATACCTGGTTGAGCGGCATGTAGCACACCAGGTTGCAAATGTACTTCTGGTTGACCTTGATGAAGATGAACTTCTGGCTGACCTTGGTGGAGATGAACTTCTGGCTGACCTTGGTGCAGGTGAACATCTGATTGGCCTTGATGAAGGTGCACTTCTGGTTGGCCTTGATGAAGGTGAACTTCTGGTTGACCTTGGTGTAAGTGAACTTCTGGCTGGCCAGGTTGCAGGTGGAATGTCGGGTGGTCTGGCGCCAAATGAACTTCAGGTTGGGCTGAGTGCACGTGAACTTCCTGCTGACCTGGGTGTACGTGTAGCTCAGGTGTCAAGTGTACTCCTGGTTGAGCTGGCTGCAAATGTAAAGTTGGAGTAGCAGGTTGCAGGTGTACAGCATGCTGAGGCATTCCTCCGTGAGCTTGTAAGAATGTCGGTTGTATGTGAGCGCCGGGCTGCTCAAATACTACGCCCTCCTGATTACCTTGTGGAGCTACATGGAAGTGAGGCACTTGAGGACGCTCATACAATACCTGGTTAACAGCTGGACCAGCTTGTGCTAGCGGAAACACGGGAGCTTGATAGTTTAGTAATGGAAATCTTGGGTATGTTGCGAAGAAAGAAGTCTGGACTGCATTACCAGGTCGTAAAACGTAGGGGAATTGACTGGCATATGGTAAAAGTGGTGCGTAAGGAGGTTGAGCAGGAAGAGGTGTGGCTGGCACAACAGGTCTCAGGTGTGCCTGTGGAAATAGATGAGTGTGAGCTAGGGCCGCAGCTGGAAAGACAGGAGCTGGAGCAGGCAGGGGTGCAGGTGGTGGGAGAGGAGCTTGATGTAGTAGCACTGGAGGAGAAGGTCCTGGTTCAGGACGGAGCACTGTGGCTGTAGGTTGGCCTACTGGTATTACAGGAGTAGCAGGTACAGGGGCCGGCAGCACTGGGACTACTGGCACCACTGGCTTAGGAGCAACATGATGATGATGGTGGTGGAAGTGATGGTCTGGCTTTGGCAACAACACTGTTTTTGTTTGATGAGGGAATTTAAGACCATAATGTGGGTGAGGTACAGGTACTTTATGTCCCACTGGCACAGGGTACCGAGTAGACAATGGATGAGCGAGAGGGACCTTTACAGCGGCCACAGCGGCTGCGGGAGGGTAGGACACTACTACTGGCTTTACAACAGAGTGTGTCACTACGGGGATGTCGTAGCCTAGCTTGTAAGGTGGTACCGCCGTCAGGACTCCTCGTTTATGGTGTTTGGCCTTCGCTAGCCGTCCTATTAACTTCGCCTTGGCAGCCTTCAGATGCACTACATCTGCCAGGGTCAGGCACACGCACGCGCACACCACCAACGCGATCTGAAAGACACCACGCACCATGTTAATTATAATCCGCACTGATCACGATCACTGTCACTATCACGATATTGCACTTGGTTCCGGAGCCGGCTGCTCTCACTCTGCTATACTTACGATTGTAAGTCTCATGTTGACACAGTCGCCCGACCGGCGCGACAAACACTCACAAACCGATTGTCGCCGGACTCTTCCACCCATACTTATAACTTAAAACATATCAAATTAGTATGTAGCTGGCGTACAAGTTTCACTAGCCAGCCGGACGTGCCTGTTGCGAACTTCGTCCTTACGCGATTATGCTTTCGATCGTTCCTAAACAAATGCAACTAAATTCTTCTTCCGATTTACAATGACATGATATTGAATCCTATTACTGACACATAGAGTCGAATTTGGCAAATGTTGGTTACGATTTAGGCAGCACGTAGGTGGCTGCCGTCATTCCTGTGTAACAAGTGTGCGTACGCGCATTTCAATTGATCAAGAAACGTAATCGAGAGAAAATTGTACCATACCGTACAGGGAGGAACTGGTTCTGTTTAAACAAGAATATAATCGTAGTCAATCATTAGCCATAGCTATAGTATTGAATTGCAGTGACTGAAGCTTCGACAAGGTATTCCCATCACTCATGCATGTGATAATATCTTCTTACATGTCTCGTTATGTAGAGTGATACGAAGTAATTCGGTGTGGGTGGATTTAAAGTTTTGAAACTATTATTAATAACATAGAGTTTGAAATTAGATCCAGGATCCATATCCAGTTCAGTATAGCTAATATAATATAATATAATATAATTGTGAGAACAAGCACTATTAATAAACTTAACCTTTTACCCGAGGAATAGTATTTATCATTTTCAGCAGCCATTACCCGATGGCATGTCAGTCCGTCCCTGCGTGGTAGGACATCGATATGCGGGCACACGCCCAGCGGTTACCAAATGTACTGCGATCACTTTCCTTGGCTCTCACTGTCGCACGCGCAGATCACTCGACGTAGCCGCCACCGCCACAGTATAGCGACGAATGCATGATTGCGTAACTTTTTTCTGTGTCACTATAGCAATAGATATAGAAGTTCAATTAGGCAGGAACATGATTATGATAAAATTGAGACGCGTGAGCTAAAAATGAATAGGAAAATAATGCGTATTGATATTTTATTAGGTAGGTAATCAAAAAGTGGAGGTACTATGTTCGGATGTTTGTATTATTAGGTATATGGGTTGTATTTAATACTTTAACTCGTCGAGTACCGGTTTTGTAGACACAATTATAGAACAATAGGTTGCGGTCACCGGTGACCGCTTGGTATTTGACAGTTTAACTGTAAATTGCCTTTTTAATCAAAATATTCGAAATTACCACCAAAAATATTGAATTACACACTAATATTGCTCATCAAATAAATCAAACTAAGTATAAATAATTATGCTATACCTACTGTTAGATCTTTAAAGCTTAACTGTTTTACTGAATGACTACCTTTTAATAAAAGTAAATCTAATAACTCCTAACCTAACCTATTTTGGAAATTCCGTTGTAATATTTTATTTTATCACTCTCTACTAATTATATTGATCTAAACCTTCTAACAGTGAGCTGCGCGACATCGCAGCGACCGCGTACACTGCTCATGAGGAAGAACCCCTCTATGGTTCGAAACCAGTAGAGCTTTTATCAGTATATTCACGTAAGTAACCCGCGATTTTAGTTAATTTAGTATGACTCATAATAGTTATTTTAAAAAAAAGATCTAAACCTTCTGTTAATATAACTGTTAACTTACGATATGATTATCTGATGCCAACACAATTTGTTACTTCTTCCCAATATTTAGAAATGTTAATCACGTAGCTGTGGCAGTTTTACCCACATGGTTGGAATACAGTTCTTATGTATATGGAATTTTAAGTCAAAGTTAGCTAACAGCTGTCTGCTTTTCAATTCTTGACCTACCTACAATAAAGCTATGTCATTTATGTTAGGCAGTTAGCTACAGTACCTATGAGACTTTTTATTTTAAAACTTAGTGCCACAGTACGATTTCTCCTGGGTCAGTGGTATTGACATTTTTTTTCAATTTCTTGCCCTGTTGTGTGGCCGTATTTTGCTGTCAAGACAACTATTGGCCCACTCACTAAACCAACCATGCCGCTTTGTGGGACTTCTAATGTACCAGAACACAGGGTGCGAAATGTCATATTTGCCAGAATCTGGGTTACGTATTTAATATAATAAAAGTGTAGTCCTATTGTAATCAATTGATTTACAAAGTTTCTGAACGATATTTCTTCTCGAACTATTTTGATATTTTCGGTTTGTCGGACAAAAATGTTTCATTATTCTGGCTTATAATTCAGTTTCTGGATTTATACAGACTGCATATTTAAACATTTAAATACAATAATACGAATTATTACTTCTACGCAAAAAAGAATACTTTCTGAACGAAATGTATAAATGTCAACGCCTATCAAAACAACTGTCAAAAACAGCTGTTGAGCGTCCGCAAGCAAGCATCGTGAAGACGTAAACAAATAGTTGTTAATGTAAACTGTAAAGTAACCCAAATCGAAATTAATATCTATTTTCGATCTTCAATTTCATTCATTATGGATAAGTTTGGTGACGAAACGTTGTGCAGAATTTGTTTTCAAAAACAAGATACGGTGTACTCGTTGTTTCGCAAACGAAAAGGTATTTCCCCGAGTGAGAAGTTGAATAAAATTGGTGTCAAAGCTGATCTCCACGATACGGGGCCATCTTGCATATGTTGTGACTGTTTAGCCGAGTTGGAGACTACGGTCAATTTCTTAGAGAAATGTGAGAAATCAAACCGAGTACTGGCTGAGTACTTAGCGAATGGTGTGAAGGACAATACTGCTGTACATTGTGATAGTAGAGTGGTAGAGTATAGCCAGGAGGAGTGCGAGTCTGTTGGTAAACTAGAAGTGGACAATGAGGAGTTGTTGTTGGAGGAGCCGCGGTGTGAGGAGTGCGGGTCCCGCCGGCGCTGTCCGCACTGGAGCCCGCCCACCACGTACACATGCCCCAAGTGCCAAAAAGTGTTCAACAGGAAGTTTAATTTTAAGCTACATTTGTAAGTATTTCTTCTATATTAATGTGTCATATTTAATTTGCATTGAGTGCAAAGTCTATATGGTTTTACCCATAGACTATGAAGTTAGTATAACTTAAATATCGATCAAAATAATGCTAGTCTCAGAAATATATGTAATAATATTATTATAATATATATATATACTTTTGATTTATCATAATCATATGATAAATCAACTTCAAGTCAACCACCATGCTAATAATGGTTTGCAGTGTAGCTAGTACTTGTAGCTGCACACCAATAAAACTATGTGTTTACTATGAAATATATTAATGAAACATAACTGCTTGTAATTCTATGCAGGTTGTAGAAATGTGGGACTCATATAGAATTATTTAATAACTGACCGAGCTTGACATTGTCCCTGTCAATACACTGCCAAGGACAGTTTGTGTTATGGTATGCATGTTTGGTATATTTTAGGCCTGTAATTATTTTTGTAAAATATAGAACTTCTTACTTTATTTCTTTATTTTAATACATGCTTACCTCACAACTTATGCAATATGTCGGCAAATCACATCCAAGTAATGATGCTAGAAGCATTTAATGTTTCCTTTTCCTATAATACAATTAGTATGCAGGGTGTGGAGTGGTGTATTTATGGTGGAAACCCATTAATGTTACACAAATATGATGAGTTTGTCAACAACACATGCAGTATCAAGGAATGTATGAGTCAACACCTGATGTGAAAGTGCCATTAAATGTCAATGTGTTTGGCATGATACACGGTGGCTATGTGCGCTTGTGTGTTTTGTGTTATGGATGGAGAATCTATAGTTATTTGTACCATAAGTAGGGGCCACCTACATAGAGTGGTGTTGTAAGGATCGGTGAGTTAGTTGTAGTTACTTTATTGGCTAATCAGAATAACACTTAACTAATAGATGTACAATAACAGCAAAAGATTAATATTTTTTTTAATCATAAATAGGTATCTGGTTTCAAAGTATTTTAACGCTCTGAGACTACTATTTAAACTGTCAAACACCATTCAACCATCAACAATAGGTTGCGGTCACCGGTGACCGCAACCTATTGTTCTAAAATTGTGTCTATAATGACGGTACTTGACGAGTTAAACAGTATTTGTATCTTATAGAAAGAAAATATTGGCATGGCACTCCAAGAACTGGCTACAGTAATAGTATAAATAATAAAGCCTGCAGGGCACCTTGAGGCGAGGTGACGGGCATTAGCGATCCCGCGGGCTACCATCTTGCCGAGCGCTCCAGGGAAAAGTCACTGTTCCTTATTCTCCGGTTTGCCTTAATTGGCTGGCTGGAGTGAATGTTGATAAGGAACAGGTCTCCCACCTCTGGCTTGCCTTCATTGGCCGTCCAGAGCGGAGTCGCGAGAGCAGTGATCCTGCTCGGAGGGTAAGAAACTATTTGTAAGTCGCGAGTGGGCGAGGCAGAGTGTTGCAGGAGTTGAGGAGTGATGCAGGAGGCCTCGGCTGGAGCAGATGGTCTGAGTAGAAAGCGGTGGTAGTTTCAGCCACTCACATTCTCGTTGTCCCTCTGTAGTAAAGACATAAATAATAATAACTTTTTCTTAAATCTTTAATCAAGATTTCTATATTATTAGCCGCGGAGAACGGGTTAACGGGTAACCGGGGCTCCGGCTCGAAGTGCAGGAGTAGGAACGGGGTGGTTTTTAGTGAGTAAGAGTCTGACGCCTGTCGCCTCACCCGGGCGGGAGAAGTAATTCGATGATTTTCCTCCCTTAAAAAAAATGTATATTATTATTGCTATGACATGTCATGTGTTGGCCATCGTGTCAGGAAGCGCCACAGCGGGTCCCGCGAGTGGTGGTGCGCGGCGTGCGGCGCGGGCGTGGTGTCGCGCTGGCTGGCGGCCGCGCACTGCGCGCCCCGCGCCCCGCGCGCCTGCCCCGCGCCCGGCTGCACGCGCGCATACACCTCCGCCACCAACCTCCGGGTACACCTCCGCACACACACCGGTACGATATCCACACCTTACTTAATCCTAAATTCATAATTACCCATGTTAACTAGCAATACAAACCTGTCTAACAAAAATTGCTCCTACATTCTAGGCGAGAGACCCTTCGAGTGCCACGACTGTGGCAAGAAGTTCTCCAGCAAGAATACTCTGCAGAACCACATAAGGATTCACACAGGTTTGTGGTACTTCAATAATAGATAGTTATTTACCTTATATACCAAGTACAGAATAGGTGAAGGAATCTAGGATATTGTATTTAGCAAATGCTCAGTATCATTGTATTCCTGGTAGGTGCATTGCCGTACATCTGTCCGGTATGCGGTAAGCAGTTCCGTACGAACAAGCTAGCGGCGCACATGGCGCGCCACTCGGAGACGCAGGCAGGGGCGGGGGCGGGGGCGGGCGCGCGGCTCGTATGTCCGCGGGCAGGGTGTGGGCGCCGGTTCCCGTCGCAGGGCGCCCTACAGCGGCACGCGCGCGCGCACCGGGCGGGCAGCACGGCGCCCGCGCCCGCGCCCGCGCACGCCTGCACGATGTGCACGTCTCGTTATCACCACAAGCAGTCCTTAAACAAGCACATGAGGAAGCAACACGCACAGGTATGAACACAGTATGTTTCTAATAAAACCGATTTAAATAAAGCACTATCTGTCAGGCCGACCCTGAGAGGCTTATAAATTCTACAATTAAAAGTAAGAACTAAGGTTTTAATGTCAAACTCAGTTCATTCTATTGTCTAACAGATGTCGCTATACGCTATACCTTCACACCTCCGTGTCGCGGAGAACCTAACGGGTAACTGGGGCTCCGGCTCGACGTGCAGGAGGAGGAACGGGGTGGTTTTTAGTCAGTAAGAGTCTGACACTCCCTCCCGCCTCACCCAGGCGGGAGCAGTCATTCGATGATTTTCCCCCCTTAAAAAAAAATCCGCTGCTTTGACTGTCGTGCCAACTTGTTGTCACTCTTTAAATCTGTAATGCTTCAAGTGCCTACAGTTGATTAACAATATGGGTACTCTCATTTTAGAGCTTATTACTTACTTCGAGTTGTGGGTTGCACAGTGACAGTGAAAAGTTTGACCTACTAGTTCACTAGGTACAAGCACTCGATGACCTATGTTTCACTGAGTTGTGTATTATTGCAGCAAGTGGTGCAGCCAGCCACACAGCAGGCCCTCGACCAAACTGCTGAACTATAACTTACTACTGAAGGAACTGCGTTCTACCAAAGTATCGACATCAAATCGACTGTACAAAGGCTAGCAACTTAATTTAAATTTTACAAATACCAAAGAATTGTATGTACTCATAAGTTAATTTATACAAAGTAAATAATAAGTACTGTATTAATGTGTTTAGTTTAGTCTACAATTAGGTTTAATTCAGCAAAGAATCATGTGGTTTAGTGAAACCTGTGAAAGAAGTGGCGGTCAAGGTCGTGCCGCCGCCGCGCGACACTGTACGTGATAACGGAACGGTCAGCATTATGTTTGCTTTACTTTGTTCTTTGGTTATAAGAGTTCTCAGGAAGGATTTGGCAATGGAATGGTACCAGTAATAACTCATTAGGTAAGTAATTAGAAATTAAATGTATTTGATTTACCAAATATCATTTCCCCGACACGCGTGCTACGTTTTATTAGCAGTTTGGTGCGCTTGCGCCGTGACGTAAATGTTACGATGTAAATGGTTCGGAAGCGGGCGGCGCGCGGTGCAATGTCGCTTGCAACTCTCCAACACTTGCAGCTTTGCGAAAATCAATTAGGTCATTGCACCTCGCTTGTAACGGCCTTTTCAACTCATTTTCTAGTCGGCGTCGCACCGGGACCTTCACCCACTTACGGACGGTCCCCGACCCGACGATTTCACGCCCCAACAATGATTCGACTCGGTCTCTCACTAATGAAATCGATTATTTAGAAACAGTTTATTTAGAAACTTATTACAATCCGCTAAAGCTAAGTATAAAAATAACAAGACTATCGATATGTAACATATAGATACACATTACAACTACAATCACAGGCAGGCGCTCCTCGGCCACAGCCAGGAAGCATCGTCTCAGACACACGACACACACCACATGGATGCGCTCTACCGATTATGTCATGTATAATGTTGACAATGATTACGAGTCCAATAAATAATAACTATAATTATGGCGTGTGTGTGGCGGGTCACGCCTTGTTGGTCGGCTTCTGTTTGCTGGAGACGACGGAGAAGGCGGGCCGCGGGTTGTCCACTTGCACGTTGGTGGCGCGCACGTAGTTGCTCTGGTAGCCAGTCTCGCGCACGCGTGCGTTGGGACTCAGCCGGTCGGTGCGCTCGCGCTCGTCCGCGCGGCCCTCCTCTCCAGCGCGCTCCTTGTCCTCCACGGATCGCTCCTTGTCCTCTGCACTCCGCTCCTCGTCGCCAGCTCGCTCCCTATCATCAGCTCGCTCCGAGTCGCCCGATTCATTACTCCTGTCGTCGTCTCGGATCCTATGGCTTGGGTCTTCTCGTATCCGTTCATGATCTTCTAGAAAATATCCGCTGTCGACAGGCTTCTCGTGTCTTGCTACATCTGAGTCGACAGTGGGCGGCGGTACTGTTAGATCCATATAAAACTTCTCTTCTTTCGAGACGGGTACCTTGTTACCGTAGTAGTCGTAATCTCCGGCGGTGTAGTACTCGCCGGTAGCGCGCGTCTTGCGGCTCTGCTTGCGGCGCCGCTTGCGCTTGGCAGGTCGCTCGGTGCGGGGCGCCAGGGAGCTGTCGTCCCCGTCGGTGTCCTGCTCGCTGTGCTGTTCGTACTCTTGCTGCTCCGTGCTGCTGAACTCCCTGGGCTGGTCGTACCTCGGTTGCTCGTATTCCTCCTCGTCCCTGTCTGGTTGCTCTGGGCGCTCGCGATGCAGCTTTCTCGGTCGTTTCTCACGGTATATCGGTGGCACTCGTACCGTGACTGTATCGATTTGATTCGGGTTGTGCTCGGTTGGCGGCAACACGCGCGGTTTCAAAGGTTTTTTGGGATCTTCTGTCGTGGTTGTGACCTCAGAGTCATCTTCTGCTTCCGGCAAAGGCAGTGGGATCCTGTTGGGACGAGGTCGCTCGCGCTGCAGACTCTGATGAGAATCGTCACGGTCATGGCGGCGTATTTGGTCGCCTAGATCTCTGTCTCCGAAATGTACGTTCTGATAATGATTAGCGGGAAGTCTCTGAGCCTTCTGCTGAGCTGGCTTTCTCTGCTGCTTTTTATTTTGCCAAAATTGGTCCACAGCGTTACCGAACTGTCGCACAGCTGCTTCGCGGTCCCGAGACTCCTGCACGTCTTCATAATCGTCGTCATCGTCGTCCAGCTGTTGTCGAGCGGCGTCGTCATCGTAAGCGAGGTAGTCTTCGTCGAAATTGTTAGCTCTCTGCGGATCGAACTGTTTTGCGTCAACTGTGTTAACTCGGCGCGCCACTCCGTTTCTAACAACAAACGCATCGACGTATACGCGCGGCTGTCGCGGTTCGGTTTGCGGTAGTTTTGCTGCACGAGGTGCAATAGGTATTGGCACGAACTGTTCCTGACTGTCTACCTGGGCTTCAGCTTCGTTTTGAACTGCTTCGGCGGCCGGTGCAGGGGCTGGTGTAACCGGAGTGACGGGACTTCGATTAAAGTTGAAGTTTAATCTAAGATTCGAGGTGATCCTTTCGAGGTTGTCGGCTTGTTTCGGTGGAGTCGGCTTAGGTTTGGGTCGCGGTGCCGCTCGGGGTTTTGGGCACGGAGGTACGGCCTTAGGTCGGGGTGGTGGAGGTGGTGGCGGGGGCGGCTTTACGGCTCTGCAGGGTGGCGGTGCAGCTGCACGGGGCTGCCCACACGGGGGAGCTGCCGGAGCGGGGGCCGGGGCAGGGGCAGGTGCCGGCCCAGCCAGTGGAGCGTCAATCCCGGGGACTGGCGCAAGAGGAGGCGGGAATTCAGCTTGAGGAGGCTTCCTCTGCACACTGTAGCCGAGCACGTCAGCTAAGCCTCTAAACACTATGTCGCCAAAAGTCCGTTTCTTCCGCACTACTTCATCGGGGGCACCGTCTAGCTCAATCTCGGTACCGTTCACATCACGCAGCACCAGCGTACCGTTGTGATTGTCGACGACGATGGTATCATTGCTGATAAGCGCGTCGATGGATTCATTGGCGACGACTTGCGGGGGCTCGCCGGCGGCGGCTGTCGCCAGCAGCAGCAGCAGCAGCGGTGGCGCGCGGCGCATGGCGGGTGTGTGAGTGTCGCGCGGGAGGGCGCTGCGCGCGGTTTTGTCGCACCGAGACTTGCTCAAGCTCCGTCACGGGTGACTGGCCACACCTTGTGCTGAGCGTCTGACTCATATATTCATTAATAACAACAGTATATGGAAGTAACACTCGACATTCTCGCTCCCCGACCTGTCCCTAAGTCTTACTCTTACTGTTTATTAGCAAGTATCCGAATCCCTTAATCGATCAGATTCACGCTTACACAATGCGCAGTTTCAGTCTGCGTTGCGTTTTAATTAATTATTTATTTTCTTTAACCATGCTCTCCATTAAACAGTTGCGCTCTTGTCGAAGCGGAACATTCATTTTTTTCCGTTTGAACGAAGAATATAATAAATAGATAATTCTCTTCGCCAGTTAGTGGCAGCAGTTAGACAAAACCTTTCACGGAACCCACATTAGGTCGGTGCGATACTAGTTTGCGTAAACAAACGAAACAATGAGTTCAATGTTATTAATATATTATCTGGAATGGTTTCGCTTTTGCAGGTAGGTAAGTATATTAGACATTCTTTAACATTTCTAGAACAAGGCTTAGGTTTTTTGGGAAGGTATTTTAGCAAGGTATACCCAAGTTCGTTGTCATCCTGAAACATTAGATAACAACAGTTTGACCCACTTCCCTTTGAGTTTCCGAATGAAATAATTGAAATAACATTAATTATTTCGCCACTCAGCTCTAGTGGTGGGTTGGAGATTGGTGCGGCTCGGCTAGGAAAGGTATCTTACAACACATTATTGTATTACGACAGTCATGATAAACAAACTCAATTAATATGACAAAAACCACATGAAAAAGTGAATGTCAATATAATGGCGATTGCGGTCAGCTCCGCTAATTATTGCTGGTATTGGGTCAATGAGACGGTGCGCGGTCGACGTATTGGTGCAGTGGTGTAGGGCAGATCCAGATATAGAGACGCAGTGATAGAGGTACGTACCACAAAGTATATATGTCTAGGAATATAATATTTCTTCTTCTCCTCTTATAGTATCTTCTGATTCATTTCGTTGCGGGAACTAAGGCAGTTAGTCATGTCCCTGGGACGCGCCGGACTTCAGTGTTCTGGTGTTTTCATGGTTGTGTCTACTGTCGATCCTGGCTTACAGGAGTTGCAGCGGTTTTGGGAGGGTGTGGCGGGCTTGTCCCTTTAAAAAAAATGTCTAGAAATATCGCTAAATAAATGCCTAACTTTTAATGAAAACTTGCTTATTTCTTTTATTTCCCCCTGTCTCGTGCGTGCGTTTTACAAACATACAATTTTACTTACACATCACACCTAGATCCCGAAACAATTTGTAGATCACACCAAATTCCGATAGTTCCGTTCGGAAATCGAACCCGCGGAACGCGTTTTACAAGCAGTCATTTGCCTGCCCACTGCGCTTACCATGCAATCATAATTTTGTACGGACACAATGTCAACATTTTATTTATTTAGCCAAATCTATCAACAAATAAATGTTATTGAAACTGGTCGCAATCGCAATTTATAATTTTAATTGTCATTTAGTATTTCCTTCTCCTTTAAGAAACCTCTACTTGGTAGTACACAGACGGAATGTACAGCCTGATTGCTCTCATCATTTGTATAATGTAAGCTGATTGATAGAACACGTGGTCTTTGGAGTATATACTCCTCAATCAGCTTGCTAGGCACTGGGTCAAGGGAAGTCAGCGTGCTCCGGTAACCTATATTCCTTGTGACCTATTTAAATGTAGGTACACAGATATATCTACTTCTAAACACGGAGTCTATGAATAGATTTGAGCTTGAACTGACGTTGCAATGTTTACAATAATTACAATCTTACTTCGTTGTTCATTAAGAAACGTTCGATTAACCAACGCCTGCACTGGCGGATCTAGCGGTTAACGAACCACTATTAGGTACCAACCTATCTACTCTGTTGCTTTATGTAACAACTGCAAAGGACTAGGATGTTAAATAACGACTGCTTCTTTTAAATTACAAATCAATGAAAAGAAATGATTTACTTATGAGAATGTACCTTCAAAACTAATTGAAAAAAGGCGAACATAATGTCACTTAGAACTGATTGAAGCACCAAAATGTCTGGGTAATTTATGAGTGCGTGTGTAATGGGTTACCACGTCACCAGACTTGAGAATATTATGATAGATGTCCAGGTGCCACAGTCGTTTCAAGAGCACTATACCCGCCTTCTTTTCAACGTCCTTTCCTACAAAATTCAAAATATCTTTTATTTAATACACATTATACAGGCGCTTTTAAAATCGCGTTATAGAATTTATCCTTCAGTCATGTGAAGTCTACGTGAGAAGCTATTTGCTCGTTCCAAATTGTAGAACGAACAAAAAACTAGATCGTAACTAATTTCTTGATAGGATAAAGGAGCTTCGGAAACAATTTTCAAGGTGTTACGGAAGTATACCCAACGGCACCTGTCTGCAAACTAGCTATCGCCTTCCATATTCATTCACAACTCTCTACTATTTTAGTTCCTGAAGGGTAACGCGAATTAATTACGTGATCAATGAGGCAGCTAGTTTTGGCAACCAGGTCAAGGTGTAGGTATAGTAAATATCATTGGCGACTGATTCGTCACTATTCGATATAAATTACTATCTTGATCCGTCCTCTACGGAAATTATTTAATCAATTCGATCACTATCAGTATCGGTACCTAGGTAAGTTATGATTAACTTGAGGACTAAGTACTTGATATTCTTTACTGATTATTGTCAAAGAATTCATAATTTTATTTGTTACTTGAACTGAATAAGAATTGTAGGAAACTATAACTACCCATACTTATATCCGTTGCGCCTGTACTATGACATTGATTAATACAACAATCAGCAACTTGCTATTAAATAAACAACAGGCGTTACTTGAAATATATTAGCAATGTAACCGTCAAGCACATTGCTCTTGATTTACGTCAGGCGTTTGGATGAAACTTAGGTACGAGTAGTTTCAACCTCAATCACTTGTTATATTTGTGTTGTTTGTTTAAAACGTGCCGCGTGTTACTCAATGTCAGACAGAAACGATTTTAAACAATCCTGTTAGAGCGGCGCCGCCGGGAATTGGATCATCCCCTCAATGATCGGCTCTAATTGGGTTAGTGCCAAAACATAGATGTCGTTATGTTATTAAAAGCAAACAAGCAAAAACAACTAGAGATAAGGTTTCAATGAATGGAAACAGTTCGTTGACTTCAGTAGGTGACATTGTGTTGTACTTATCAATATGTTGTTATCCCTAGCAAAAAACATTGGCAATAGTTACCTAGTTTTTTAAGTACCCATATACCTAGAAATTCCGAAGATTATTAAAGTGCGATAGATATCTATAAAATGGATGTCTTCTTCTGGTCGTGTGTTCTGATACAACAAAGTTGAACAGCGACTGCTTACTAGTATAGGTACTTGATTACAAATTACAACAGACCTCGGAAATTAAAATAAGATGAGAGAGCGAAGTAAGTAGAAGTCGTTACTGACGAGCTTTGGGATGTAAACTTACTTTAAGTACCTGATAACAGTACTTGTCTACCTGGGAAGTTGAGATGGTGCAGGCTGTTTATCTCCAATTGCCAATAACGGCGATATGTATGAGGCTGGCAGTAATTGAATGTGATCGGAGTCGCGTGGCAGTGTGGCACTCGTCACGCGCTTCTAATTGGATTTTGGCGTGTACCGTCAGCAGTGTAACTGTCGGTAGTGCGGTACCGTTGCCAGATTAGCAATGAACCGTATTCCGTCTGATCGAAGCATAACGATCATATCATACTTACATACCTAGCTCTTATGTTAAGGTGTTTAGCACAGTCATGTAGTACGGAAAGACACTCACTCCTGTTAAATTGTGCTGGAAACGTAGGGAGCTGGTCAAAAGTAGCTGTTACATTAAATATAATAATATGTGCTACAACTTCGGCGAATAAAAGATGTTACAATATAAATCTATCTTGTAATGCAATCAGCATAAGCCTGTCACAGTGATTATAAGTCCTGACAGTCCTTCAATATGAGTGCACTGTAATCACCTAATGAGTATGTAATGTGCAGATCACAGCACATTAAGCTACCACGATTCGTCAATCACAACTATTCAAGATTTTCAACTTTACGTCAAGACGATAAAATTTAAAATGCATGTGTTGTTGTGGGTATTGTGTCCAGCTTCCGTGTGAACCTGCAGATGACTTCCGCGCTCATTAGCAGTTATTAATTAAGATGTTGATGTAACTCGAGACTGACATTGTTAAACTGTCTGTAATGTATCTCGTTTGGAATATTATGTCGAAATAAACACGATGCATGCGGAAATACTGCAACTCTTCAAAGCGTCAACAAGAAAATATTAATATTTATAAGTAGGCCCATACTTAGATGAACAGTTGGGATTTACTTTATTCTTACTTTAAGACGAAGGACGTGTCGTGGCGGCCCCGAGGTTAAGACCAACGGCAAGTTCCATTGTGACTTTTTCAGTTTTATGTAAGTACTTTCAATAATTATTTAGACACCACTTACAAAAGGCGAAGGAAAACAACGTGAGGAAAGCTGGACTAAATTTGAAATCGCTAACCCGCCATGAGCAAGCGTGGTTATTAACCTCTTATCTGCTGGCATATAAGACACAATAGAAAACATATTGTGTCTCGCGTATATTTATGCTCCCGGCATACCATGGGTTAATGCTCAAACCTTCTCCGTTCAAAAAGAGACTGCTTAGAAGTGGCCACTTGTAGGCTGTTGATTAGACTTATGAGCTTACCTAGCAATCTTCTTAATTACTTTTCTCATAGACGACTGAAAAAAAAAACAGTTATGTTCAGTTTTTACTGTCACATAGATTGACAGAATTAGAAGACTCACTTATAAAAGAAATGATTGAAGAGTTTCCACTTCTTCTTCTTAAAAGTATCTTGGCTTAGCTGCGGTTCGTAGTCGACTTCTCTC